GGGTATGCTTTTGCAAGATAAGACTTTTATTACCCGCCAAGTCAGGAGGAAACTAAAATACAGGCAGCAGCTGTGTGATCTGACTTTATCACATTATGACAGGAGCTCAACCACTGGAAGTATTGCCATGGAGCACAACTTTAGGGTATTTGTCTGACAACATGTTTTACTTTTATGCTTTCTAATTCATTTCAGATCAGAAATGTCAGCAGTACGAGAAAGCCATGTGGTCTGCAAGATAGGGGGTATACATGGCTCGGAGATCATCACTGTTGATCACAGCAAATGTCATTTCAGTGAATGAGAACATGAATTTTAAACCAGATGTTTGAGACCTTGCAAATATTTATTTAGATTCACTTTCCTCTTGGATTTTATATTCTTATGAATTTTAGTGGTTTGCAAGCCTTTGCCTGATAGTTCTCCCCAGCATCCACAAGAATGCCCATTATATTTTCCTTTTTATATGTTTAAACTATTTCTATACTTAACTCCTCCTTTATATCTCTTCCAAAACTCAATCCATGCCCCATGAGCCAGCCAATTATTCATTTGCAAGTGTGCATGAGGTCTGGACTTGAGAGTAAGTTTTTCAGGGGTCACTGCAGCTAAATAAATATATGATGGTGGCATAAGGCCCATTCATTCCTGGAAACTTAGTACTGTACACATTTTATCCATAAAAGCAGGAAATTGAGTTGCATTCTAGCTTAAACTGCATTCTTAGTTGATCAGGACAATACTAAACCAAATCTAGGAACAATGCAAAGAGATTTTTGAAAAATGATTAAACTATGGAAACCTAAGCGCTCAGAGCACAAAGAAGTACAAAAAGTAGGACAGACACTCTTCTGGTAAGTTTCAGGTGTTATGTTTAAAGGTTAGAAATTGTCCTCAATGTTTTCTATGAAGTTCACTTGCTCTCCTCCCATATGTGACAGTAAGCTATCCTGTTCACATTCCACATATTTATAAATAGTTTGCAGTGTTTTAGACCTGCATATGCCCACAGATGTGTGTTAGCTAATTAGGTCCATAGGAAACCAAGAGACAGGTAGACACTAGGGCTGATATAATCAAATGTAGCATTAAATATTCTTGGTGTTGTTAGAGGAAGACATTGGAATTTTCTTAAATTTTTCAAGTAGTTTAAGCACTTGCCAGTCCCATTGCTTAAATATAAGATGACCAAAAATTGCATATTTTTGTTAATTTTTGTAAGATAACATAACATGAAATATAATCATGAAAATTTTATGAAATTTCTTCAATATAAGAATTGACTGTCAAAATGAGATCTGTCTGAGTGATACTTGGGATAATCATTACATGAACAAATGAATTGCCAGAGTGACACTCCAGGTAAACTATTAAACATCTGAGGATAGGTAATGAGATATGGCTTTTCTTTCTCCATTCAGATAAAAGATTTTTTTTTCCAACCAAACACTGATCTACTTAATTTGAAACTATTGATCAAACTCTTTCAATTGCCCCAAGTGAATCTTAGAAACCTAGCAAGTTCTTTAAAATTTAAACACTAAAAAAAGAAAGGAAAAGCTTCTGTGTATAATGGAACTGTTGTTCTTTCAGGCTGATACAGTTTTGTAAACTATGGACTTTCACGAATAAGTATCCGCATCCTCCTTTCCCCATTAAGCGAGACAATATGCAGTCCTACTGAAATTCTTAGGCTATCTACTTTTTTCTGAACATGGAGGAAAAATTATGATAAAAGTCATTTTACAACTCAATTACTATTAGATTTTTCAAATGTAATACACATCTCACATGGGTTTTAGGCATTCCTGTATTTTCTTCCTGTGTTGAGGCATGGTAGTCTAATATAAGACACAGTATGAATCCTACTCTTTAAACTTGGGTGCAGATACATTTTTTTTTTATCTTTGAGACTTTAAGCTTTTATTTCTTCTGAACACAAATTCTGCATAGTATTATTTTCCCATGAGGGATAGCTGCTGGTGAAAGAAATCTAATTATTTACTAGAGTGTTAAAATTGTTAAATTCCAAGGCAATTTTAACTCTCTCTTCCCTGAAACATTTTATTTGGCTACCAAAAAGTTACAAAATAGTTTGATCATATATTTATGATTTTTTCACTTTCTCTGACTTTACTGGAAATGGCAAGCATTAAGCTATTAGTTTTTTTTAAGCTATTAGTTTTAAGAGATGTTAAATCTTATTTTTGGTCTTTGTTGTGTCCTTTTTATGCATTGCTATAATTTTCTGTCTTGCTGTGCCCTCGAGTTACAGGTCTTCTTTACCCAGGGCAATGTCATACAGTGATAAGGACCTTCTGAAAGGAGGGGGGCCTGTGTACTCAGGGCCTGCTTATCTGGGTTCCTCCCAGCCACATGGGATCTCTGGGCATGCTCTCCACCCACATGACCCTCCATACTGTGGACAGAAACTTCCTCAACTGAACATCTGGTCCAAAGCCTTTATTGGCTTTCTGCTGCCCTCAGGATGAAGTCTAGGTGCTACCGTTTGGCCAATGACACGGGGTCACTTTTTATAATTTGGCCCAGGACATGTGGTCCTGCAGTATCGCTTCAGCCCTTCCATTTCCTGCTCATCCCCTTCTCTGTTTCTTTTCCTCATGTCCTTCTGCAGCCATAAGAAAACACAAGTTCCTCCAGCCTTCAGTGAGGTCTCAAGTGTAAGAACATTGATGACACTGTGGATTGTGCACCTAAAGGTCTGCAAAGTCAACCTGGTGACATCCCATATTTTTAAAAAAAATTCAACAAACTCTACCATTAGGTCTTTTAAGAACTCCTCCTACAAGCAGAATTGACCACTGTTTTCCTTGTACCCTTTCTTATTCCGTCATCTGAAAATAAGTTGTTAAGACTTCAGTCAAGTATTTGCCTGCTCTACAGTAAGAATTTCTTTGAAGTAGAGCCCATGAATTATTTTCATTTTACTCCTAATAAATAGCTCATATCATGTAAAAGAACAAAAAACATGTATAAATGATTGAACAAATGATTAAGCATAGAAAATGTCCAATAACCTTCAAGACCTAAGAAGCACATATCTAAAGAGTTAATCCTAAGATTTTATTGGGTCTTTCCCTTATCAGCCCAAGGGGTGACAATAAATGAAACTTTTAGTCTAACTTCAATTACGGAAGGCCAGGGAAGAGCTCTCAGTGGTCTCATGTGCAGCTGGGACTTGTGTAAAATATACACAGGTTTTGGACATTGTCAAAATGACTTTGTTTCTCAAAGCAATGTGTTGCCTTCAATGATAGAAATTACCAATGAGAACTGAAAATAACACAGTGAGGTAAAGACAAGGTGGGAAATGTTCCATATGAAGGAAACACACACATATCGTGGGCTGATCAGGTCCTCAACTTACCAAATGAGTGAACAGCAAAGGCTCAAATGAAAGAGACAAGTGGTTTGACTTTAGGGCTTCAGGATTATCAAAACTCTCTCGCAAAATTTGAGAGTCTCTGGGGGCTGAGACAAAGAGGTCTCTGGGCAACCTGTATTTATTTGGATTTCCCCTGAGGGAAACAAGGAAAGTGAGCTGGACCTTGGGCATCAGTTAAAAGACTTCTCCAAGTAGTAAATTATGCTAATTAGGAGAACTTTCCTATGTCCCGCTTGACAGTTATTGTAGGAGTGGAGCCTGAAGCTACAGTCTTTATATAGATAATTGAGGTTGGAGCCAGGCATCCTCTACTGTGGCCTTGTCTTGTCTTTTGAGGCCTCATGACATCATAGGCCACTATAGGTCTCAGTTGGGACCAGTGATTCCTAGAGGTTCACTTACTATGAATCCATAGTCCATCTCCAGACAAGGGGCTTAGGCCTGGGACAGACTCACAAGTAAACATGGAAAGTCATTTTATTACCTCATCTCCATCACAAACAGGCAAAGGTCTGAACATGAGAAATGTGTGATGTTGTTGGTTTCTAGCATGGTTGCAGCCCCAGAAAGAAGGGCAGGGCATCAAGCAATTGAAGAAGGGAGGCAAGAAGGGAGGGTCATATCGTACATGGCTTTCTAGGAATTCACACAGTGGGGCACCATTTATAGAGGGTCACACCTCCCTGATGGAATCCCATGAGACTTCAACACAGGTCGTCCCTAATGTCCTGCTGACCATTAGGCAACCTGGAAGAGGAGATGTGTCTGTAGTCACAGTGAAACTCCTACATGGCTTCACTAAAGCTCTTAACATTTTAAAAATTATTTGATACTGACAAATTTTCTGCTTTGTGCAATTGTTTACCTGTGTATATTTTTTCTTCTAGTTGGAAAAACGTGTGAATATTACTATAATGTTGAAAATATTTTGTTGGTCTTTTACTGGCTTTCACTCTGTATATGCTACTTTGACATTTCTTGGGATCAGTCTTAACACTGGTAATTTTAGTACATTAGCAAAGCTTATCATTCTCTAAGGGGAAAGATAGAGTATTGGAAGAAACATATAAGAACTTTCACAAGAAACCATTAATATTTAAAAATGTAGAGACACTCCAAGTCAAGGAAGAAGAAGAATTTTTAAAAGGATTTATAAGACAAGATAAAAAAATTTCAGGGAGTTTTGGAGCAATGACTCCTGACTCCTCTATTTGGGAACAAACCGACGACCTGGCAGCTGACATGAAACTGGTTTGGTACTCCATCCTTGATTATCCAGACCAGAGGCATCAAAGAATATGTGCTCAGCTGTCTGTGGATTTTCCATGAATCCATGCTTCCAGCTGAGGCATCCAGGTGGCCCCGTCTCTGGGTTAGGTCTAAGGAAGCCTTCCTACTCCAGTTTGAGGCATGTGTTTCCATTGTCCAATGAAGAAATCAAGTCTTCCTTGCCTCATCCGTAAGCCCTTGCTATGTGGACATTCTGAAGCTGCCACCAGGAAATGTATGGGGTAAAACTGTCTTCTATGATACGTTTCATGGGTCCACTTAGTCACCTTAATCTTGGTCTCTTTCTCAATTTTATTTCCTGCAGATTTCAGTCAGCCTACTCTTTCAACTGAAGAAGCTGCCGTGACTCCAGGTCTGTTTTCATGCGTGCATGTGGAGTCCCTGTTGGGAGGCAAATTTCACAGTACCTGACTTGTCACTACGAGGGAACTGTGACAAACACTGAGAAATACAAACTAAGTAGCAGTGCCACCCACTGCTCAGGAACTCTCACTTCTGGAATTTCCCACAGAAATAGTACTGTGAACTAAACAAATTCAAAAAATAGCATGGTAAGATGAATGTAGCATAAAGTACCGGGCCAGACTAAGGACTCTATGGTGCCATGGTAAGAGGGCCGGTTGGCAGACAGAGCTGGCTCAGCCCTGGCTGGGTCTGCGCTGCAAGCAGACTCTGAGTAATTTGCCTTACAGGACTTTGGCCCCTTAATTATAAAATGAAGCCAATGCCCCTTGCCCACAGAGATTTTTCTAAACATTTGGTAAGATGTATGTAAAAGTCCAAAGTTCTGACACATCCCGAGTCCCTGAGAAGTGACAGCTCTGAGCCAAGCTGGGGGCAAGACGCCTTCTCAATAATTTTCTACTGAAAAGAAGATGACTTTAAAAGGCTTGGTTGGCAGTGAAAACTGAGAGGGTCTTCTGTAGCAGGGTCTTAGGGAAAGACACTCCAGGTGTAAAATAAACCCTGAGAGACGACTTGTAGAGTGTGGCCAGAGGATCAGAAGCTAGAAGAACCACTGAGAAAATGTCTGAAGATAAATGGCAGCAATAGATTTTGAGAAGAACAGAAGTCAAGGGAATCAGGCTCAGTGACTAGACCTAATTATTAGGCTTCTGGGTCTAATTAAACAATTTCAGTTTCAAATGACTTCAATGGGAATCAAACATGTTGGTTTCAAATTGGAAAGAATTTAAGGGACTAATGTTAAACATACATGGCCATGAATTGTGCAAATAATGGCCAGACTGCTGGGACAATCACAGCTTTCATGCATAATTAATTCATTCTCACAGGAACCTATGTTAGACATTGTAATACTCATTTTTGCCAAGAGAACACTGAAACATAGAGAAATTAATTAGTAAGATACATTGGTGATGGCTGAAACTCTGCTTTCTCCAAAACCCTCATATTCTGGTACAATAGAAGAGAAGGCAAGTTTCAATGAACCTATCTACATAAGTCCTGACCAATCACAAAATATAAGAGCTTTTGACCACATTGAGACAATGTACCACAATGGTTTTTTGTAATAAGTAAATCTGAGAAATTTCTGTGGTTGTGATATCAAGAGGGTTTCTTAATGTAAAAGAGAACACGCAGATAACATTGAAAGAAATCTAACATGGAGATTATTTGGTTGGGATCTTAAGACAAATAATTATATGAGAAACTTCTACAGACAGGAAATCCAGTAGAACCATTGTAAAGCTCAAATGAAATATAGTATGGGTTTGGAAGTAAACAGTGGCTTGCTATAAAAGAAAATTGGGGCTGGGGATTTAGCTTAGCGGCATAAAGCACCTGCCTTGCAAGCAGACAGTCGTGAGTTCGATCCCTGGTACCGATGAAAAAGAAAAAGACAAAAAAAAAAAAAACTGGAAAATTGATAACCACATAACCTTTGATAGGATTGGACTAGAGTCTGGGTAGACTCTTTGTTCTGTGTATCTTCTTTCTTCTCATCATTTTTACATTTAAATAAAACTCCCAGTAACTCTTGTGGAAATCTGCAGGTGGTTCATTACAATTTTCTCCCACTCTATCCTGTAGCAAAGGGGATAGTTTGCTATTTCTCACCCATGAATGCCTTTTGGATGGTTAAAAGTAAATTCTGAAATAACTGGTGGTAAGACTGACACATTTCCAACTTTATTTTATTAGTTTAATGTTGAAAGTTGAAAATCAGTTTCAAAATACGTTAAAGAGAAACCCACAAAACAATCTAACTCTAAAAAGGTTTTATATGTACCCAATTTATTCTGATTTTTTTTCAAATTTTGTCTAGTTTTAGGAGCAAGACAGCAAATTGCCCACATGTTCTCGGAACCAGGTATGCAAATATTTGCTAAAGAATGATAATCATTCTACTTTAAATTACATATTGCAGTTTGAAATGCCTATGAAATAAGAAGCATCTATTTCAATACAGAAAAGCATGTGCCATTAACTTTGCTCACACAAAATTGTACAAGGCAAAAAAAAAGTTCCCTTTTTAAATTTATGAGAAGACTCTTAAGTTTTTCAAGCACTTTGAAAGTAGCAACAAAATTTTTTAATAATTTTTCTTTTAACTTGCATTTCCCTGGCTTTGTCATCAACCTGCGTAACTGATCAGCCTCTTAAAGTATAAAACAGTTGAGTTTCCTCTTCCCTAATATAAAGAAAGCAAGAAGCTTAAAAATTGTTTAGTTGGCACAACACTAACTATAAATACGGATTACTTCCATCTTGATTCATGTTTGTCAACCCTGGTGGTCATCCGCCTCCCCTGGTGTTGCTGCAGATCTGGCTTCAATTCGTTTGTGTTCTCAGTGTTTTTTGTTCTGTGTTTTGAACTCCCACCCTGCTCTTGGCTGTGTCCGCACTGCACACAAGAAAAAGTCAGTGATGGACTCAAACACCAGCTTCTCTGCTGGGCTGCAGACTGAAGCCAAGTGGGCTTCTAATGTTCAAACTACAAAAGACTTTGTGGCTTTTTCTCCTGTCCACGTAGAATCTTCACATAACTCTTATCTATAATTAAAACAATAAAGAACTCAGGATTTGGAATCAGAACTATGTGACTCTAAATAAAATATTTGGTCCTCAAAGTTCCAAATGCTCTCAGGTTACTGTGAAGACCCCCAATTTGGAAAAGATAAAATACACAGAAAATTTGCAATACTAGTATTTATTTTGTAAACAGGCAAGGTTAGCCTAATTTTACCAATTTAATTTTTCAAGTATTATGTGGCAATTCGTTTCATACTTAGATAATTTTTCTGCTCTCTTTTTTCTCCCACAGTGATGATAGCTATTATCTTGGGGGCGATAGCTGTTATTGTTGGAGTCATCCTCTCCTTTGCAGTCTGTATCCGGCTACTGACAAGGGTGAGAATTCAATTTTTAAATTTTGCATTATGTTCTGATGTGAGCAATGTTAGATGAATTTGGTTTTTTGAGTAAAATTAAAGAAAATGACAACTATTTAAAGTTCGCGGTGTTATGTTTTGGTTCTGGGACTCAAACTCAGAACCTCATGCTTGCCAGGCAGCACTGTGCCACTGAACTATTTCCTCAGCTCTCCTGTTTTTCAACTGGACACATAATTGGATTGAGCTGCTTTGGAAGAATTTTTTTTTGCAACTGAATACTTCTGATGATCCTCCAATATGAATCTATCTTCTTTGTTCCCAATTAAAGATTCGCCCCAAAGTTTTTCTCTAATATGATTTAGTACCGTTTGATGGATACAAATGGAACAAATTTCTGCTTGTAGAATTTATGCACAAAATCTTTAAAATAAAATTATACATTTAGGTATCCTTAAAACTCTTCCTTTTTCCATGTTACAATTTATAAAACCAATATTACAAAGTCTATCCATAAATGCTCAGCGGGAGATTTTTTTATAAAATCAATAAAGCTGTTTTTAAGTCCATATGACATAGATTTACAAAGCAGGTAACTTTTGAATATGTTTAAGACACAGCATCAGAAATGATACTATGATACTGTCACTGGATCTATATCCTATATCCTAATTACTTAGTCATAGAAGTTTGGAACAGTAGGATTTTCATTCACTTTTTAAGTCTTATTTGCTGTGATTTATAGATCATGATCACTATATTCCCTTCACCAAGCTTCTATAGAGGGACAACCACTGTGCAATGGGGCAGCCATAAGAATGCCAGCAAATCTGCTCAACTTCTTGGTCTACTTTCTTTGTAAACTATGTCTATAAGGTGACTCCTGTAATCATTCACTTTTGTGATTGTCATTATTCCACACAAATCTTTCATTACACTTTTAAAAATGACAAATTTTGTTACAGATTAATAAATGCAGTAGTCTATTAACTTGAGACTTCTGTTGTGTGAAAGATTATGTAAGGGCTTGAATATGAGTTTCTTTCTCTTGTCTGCAGTATATATATTGGACAAAAACCATCTTCTGTTTGAGAATATACGGCAAACTGAATTGTTTTGTCTCTTGATCAGTATTCTAAATGCAAAAAAAATCAGAGAATTCATAGTGTCTTCATTTGTATACTTGTGTATTTATGAATTTTTCACTGCTAATTACTGCGTGAAATACAGAAGAGTTCATATACAGAGTCATATTGCACCTACTGAATACCAAATACTATTGAGAAATACAAATAGAAGTTTAAATTAATGTTTATTAATATCTATGAAAGAAATTTATTCCTAAACCACTCTATAAAGTGATTTTCAGTCGAAAAGTTTTGAAAAATATTTTTAATTGAAATATTTTGATTTTTAGTGCCTTTGATTAAAAAATTATGGTGCTAATATTTTTCTGTTGTTTATGTATAGAAATCTCCAATTAGCAAGCCACCTCCCTTGGAAGACACAGGCGAACCTTTAAATTCTGTTGAAGTAGTACATACAGGTTGGTATGAATATGTGCATTGCCTTTAGCTTTTTGGGAATGGAAATGAATTCATGACGATGTCTTTCTTTCTGGATTTTAACACAAGATGGCCAGTTAGTCTTTATTTGTATTCAATGCTACTACTATACTAATTTTAAAGAGGCTGTATTCCTTATCTTAAAAAAGTAGAGGTTGATTTTTTTGAGAAATAATCCAGGTATTTATATTCTAATACTAATTGTAAATATAAGCTGTAATAATGATGGGAGTCTCCATTTTAGCTGCAGGAGAGCAGTTAATGAAATCTGAATAGAGGCTTCTATCTCTAAATACTTAGCCAATCAAATTTACTGCATTCATAGTGGCCCTGGGAAAATCTCACCAAGAGTACACAATTCCGAGCCAACGTGACCGGAAGCATAACTTCAAGTACCAGCTTTTTGGGGGCAATGTCCACCAAGAACAACTTTGTAGAATCTAATGATCAGATAAAAGAGTTCTGATTCTGCTTTCTACAAAACTAATTGAAAATTTCCTCGTAACTGTTAATTATCAAGATAGATCTTACGTTCTGGAAATACCCAGACTCCAGTTGTAATGCTGGGTCAGACATCTAACATCAAAGAACTTGCTAAATTTTCTAGAGCTTGGCATCATAAAATCAAAGCTTGAAAGATCCACTGCAGCTCTCCATGTCTGCAGGATCTCATGCATCAGACTGTCTGGTCAGTTCTTAAAGCCTCGCAATGATTCTGATCCTAGGAAGCCCCTTCTGTTCAGAGTGAGTGGCGTAGCTGTGACTCTCAGCAAAAGGAATTCATAAAACTCAATCTGCAGGTTCTGAAAACAACAGAAGCTTTTCAAGCATCTACAAGATTCCCTTGATTTACTGAGGTTGCCTTATAATCAGACTTGCAGCTATTAAAAAAAAAACCTTTTAAGTATTCATTTTATCTATAGTCTTCCTTATTACACAATAAAATGTTTTGATGTGGTTTTTAGAATGGAGCAATTGCCATTCAAATCTTAATTTTTTATTACCTTACTTTCTATACATTTTCTGCAATTTATTCTGATGATAAAGCAAGTGTGTACTATTTCCTTTGTGACTTGTTTTACATATAGTCTTATATGTTTCTATGGAAGAGATCACAAAAATACACAGCACTTGAAATACAACAGTGGGTTAAAATACCCTTGGAAATTTAATTCAGTGAAGTGCACCAAACATGTATTAAATGTTTGCTGTGGGCACCACACTCACGGTATAAGCAGCAGTGGAATCTCTGTCTTTAGAAGATGAGAGTCTAACAGAGGACACTGGAGTGTGGTCATTGCAGTGAACAGTTCTACGGGAATGGAGGTGACAGGTACCGCTTGCAAAGGATTTGGAGATGGAGTCACATGATGAGTGGTAAAGAGCAGAGGGATGTAACCTAGGGCAGGCAGCGGCAGGACAGCGTAACAAAGCCACTGACGCAGGCAGATGGTGGTTACCCAGGAATCCTGTGCCTTCCTGCATCTGTAGGATTAATGTTCCAGTTCTGTGTTGATGTCTCAGCTCCAGTATATGTAAAGCCAGTAGAAGGTCAAGTGAAAAACCAAAAACCAAAAATACCCTCAGGTTCACTTAATTTCCCAATATTTATGTAAACTAAATTATTAAAAACTATCTTAGTAAGTGAGTGAAAGGTGCTACGGAGCCTCACCTCATGGGAAATGCCAGAAAACACACAATTACTGAAGGTGCTTTAGTCTATTAAGTGTATTGCTCTTAAGTAATCTACAAGACGATTCATATGCGGTTAGAAGTACTATGTCATCCCAATGAGAATTTGAGACATCAGGAAATAATTCAGGGATGGACTGTTCTAACCTCTTTGAACTTGGACGTGGTTGTTTATGCTTAGTGGAAATGAGAATAAATGAATCTGACTCAGTTGCCCATTGTGGCAGCTACAAGTGGGCACACTAGTCCGTTTCTCACAAGGAAGTTTGGAATACAGAGTTCCCATGGCATCCAAATAGCACAAGATTAGAAAACGTCTCACTCCTCTCAGAGCAAAGGGTCTTTCCATTGCTATTTTGCACTTGCTGGGGCATAAACATCAATCTAGCATACATGTAACATCAGTCCAGTTTTCTAACCGGGAAGGTGAGGGTATGAGTTACAATGCAAGAGACCTGCTCAGTGCCTTCTTGTATCTGCTAGAATCAGAGAATTCAGCTGTAAGTTTCTGTGCAGACTTCTTTTAAAAATTATTCCTGAAAAATACTTTATAAACTTTGGATGTTGCCTCAAATTCAAGCACTCATATGTAATTTAACTCATTTATTTACTCTCAGTTTGTGCTGTCAGTGTTTCATATCAAAGTGAAGCACAACCATTTGTTTTCTGTCTAAAGTTTCTGGGATACATTTTCTGAACTTTTTCTGTGTCTTTATTACAAATAATGTCCAATACAGCATCTATGTAACTGGATACCTTTCATTTATTAGTAGCTTCATTCAAAGAGAACCTAAAGACTGAAATATCCTAAAATTTGTGTAATAATTTCCTGTTGTGTTTGAAAATGTCTTATACTACTTTTCTAATGCGTCCCCTCTGATGCTTTACAGAAGAGTGATCAATGAGAATGTGCTCACCAAGCAGAATTGTGGAGAAATTCAACCAAGACACAAGACTTCAGCCAATCAAAAAATGAATCTGGGAATTGGGCACTTCAGTAAATTTTGTAACTGCCTAAATTGTACCTCTTCAGGAAGCAAAAGTTCATTACAGTGAGTTCCAAAGACTCAACCATGGAAAAATATCTCTGCTCACGAATGTGTCAAGATAAAGAACACGTATTTCCTCACATGCTTTTGTATTAGCATAATTTTATAATTAGTTGAGTAGAAATTTTGACTCAAAATTTCAGTTGAGTTGATCTATCTTATTTTATTTTATTCTATTGTATTTTAATAGTGGTGCTGTAAAATGTAAGGCTTGTGACACCTCCATGCAATCTAAGTTATCTTCTCATTCTATATTTTTAAGTTCTCCACAATATTAAATAAGTTAAAGGAATATTTATTAAAAGGATTTATTTTCCTCATTGCTCAAGAGGCACAATATTGTATTACACTAGAGATGCTGACATTTTGTTGCCACTGATTAAACTTGTGCTTGAAAATGCCATAAATGTAAATTATATATAATGGCACCTACATTCACTAGTGCATAAATCAACGCAAAAAGGTTTTGCCATTAAAAAGATGAGACATTGACTATACAATTAGCCCAGGTAAAATAATTTGTCTGGCAGTGTTGCCCTAACTCCTTCAAGGCACTGACTAAGCCACTGTGTTCCCCTGAAAGAGTTATCAACATACATGGTCAGAGTATCTTGCAAAAGAAAGAGGATTAACGACTTTCAAAAGAACTTTAACAACTCTAAACAGACCAAGATGTACAGACTTTACATGCAGGAGAATTCTTTAGTAAGTCATTCTGTGTTTTTACTTAAATTTTTTAATGCTTCTAGGTCCACTCTACATTCTCTTGCCAATAGAGCTTTAGAAGCTTTTGAATGATTCAAATGATGTTTCTAGACATTAACTCCTTACAACTGTTACTCATTTGTAAAGGTACTTAATATAAATATATTTACCTTTCAAAGAAAAAAATCCTGTGATATCATTAATAATAATAATCCATATGGTTTCCCATTGTTGTGTGATAATTAAATAATTATATGTACATGTTTGGGTCTAGAAATAAATTTAACTCCAAAAAGTTTAAAAAATCTAAATCTTACCATACTTGTATGTTCAGGGAAACATTTTATACTAAATTTCTTATTTAATGTAAAGAATCAAAATGAGAAGAGAACATTTCTGTTAGGATATGTTTTTTTAAAGTAGCTTCAAAATAAATTATTAGATTACTAAAAGTGATCCAAGTGTGAAGGTAATTTTAATTGTACTTTTTAATAAACATAAAATGTTCTGCTAAAGACCATAGACTAATCTTGTCTCTGTAGTAATTCACAAGTTGAAAACAACAAGAGATTAGTGGAGTATTCACTGTCAAACAGAGCTACAGAATGTCTACAGTAATTAAATTACACATTGTTTAAACTTCTTTGAACTTTTCCTTATACTTTCTCTGTATTTCTCTCTGCAACTTTCTCCATTTAAATTTGGTATTTGTGGGGTGAAATGACTTTTACTTTCTTTGTATTTTTTAAATAATTAAATAAAAAAAATCTAATAAAGAAATCTGTCCTGTGAATGCAAAATAGCCCTATGGATAATTCAGGTTAAATTTCTTAAGATTGGGTACTAGGATGGGAAAAGGTGGTGATTTGGTTACAATTTTTGTTCCTTATTGCTGGGACTCAGCCAAGGTCTAGATGACAGAAAAATGCATAGGAATGATTGAGGGACACTGTGGAGAAACAATATGAAGAGACCAGAAACAGTGAACTGAGCGGGGGCGTCTCAATGATGATAATCTATGGTGAAAGAGCACATTATGGTATATTCTAAGCCTTTTTCCCATCAATTGTAGCACATATCTCCAATGAAACTCCTAAAAGCCAAGAATCATTCAAATAAAAATAAACAACATGCTCTGCATCATGCATGGAACTATTACTGCGTCTAAGCCCTGCTCACCTTTACGCCTTGGGTTCTGTTTCGCTGGCATTGCTGCTGGGAATGGCAGAATCACACTCGGCTTCTAGACTTCAATACAACCTCTGAAGCTTTGGAGCATTTTACCTATTTTGTAGGGTGACAGTCATCTAGATTTAGTCCTATGATTAATCATGATTCCTTAGACCACAAGCTTTAATTCATTTTTGGAACTTCTGAGGGGCTACCAAAACTTCTTCTTTATTTTGGAAAAACTTTTGAATATTCAAAATGGCATCTTACACGGTAACATCAGAAAGGTTTAAGCAGGCGTGCTGTAGAATGGAAATCAATTTCGGAGCCCCAGTTTAAATCCTGTTTTTGAAAGTGTAGTTTAATTTTATCTATCTTTTGCACTGATGATTGGTCAGGCTAGCCCGTGCTGAATAGGTGCTCTACCATTGAGCAGCACCCCCAAACCCTAAACTCTCATTATTTATTCATTTAACTTCCATTTCCTTATCTTTCATATGAAGGTTACAATAGTTAATTAACTACGTGGATTAGTCAGTTTTCCTGATGCTGAACACAATACCTGACATTCATAGGTTGAAGGGTTGACTTTAGATTATGTTTCTAGAGGATTTACTCCACAGTTAACTGGCTTGAAGGCAGGAGCACTTTTGCAGAAGGGCATGGCAGCACAAAGCTGCTTAACTCATGGTATCTGAGGAGCAGATAAAAGACTCAGAGAGGAAAGCGTGAGTGAAGGACCACTCATGATGCTGAAGACCAAGACTCCATGACTACCAGGACACTCCAGGAGCATGTACGTGCAATCTTCTAAATGTTTTTTAATCCAATAAAACTGACATATCAGCACCAGTTTAGAATCCTATAGAAAATTCACTTTAACTATGCAATAGAAATATTTCATCAAGGTTCATATATAGGTTTCTTTTTTGTCACTTCATTTTTGTTCTGCAAAATTAAATAACCAATAATCTTTAGTTATTTTATATCACAATATAATTTTTCATTATCTGAATTAAAAAAGAAATCAGCTGTCTTAGAATAAGTTGAAAGAGTAGTTTTGCTTTACAGACAGTCTTCACAGAAGGGAGAAATCTTATTTTTTTCACATTTAGCATTATAATTGTATTAGTCAGTCTTCCTGTCACTGGGACAGAACACTTGATACCTACAACTTACAGGAGAGGTTCACTTGACTCACAGTTTCAGATAGCTCAGTAAATGGTAAGCTCCTCAGCTCACGGCAGCCAGAAAGCAGAGGAAACAAAAAGAGCCAGAGTGAGAGACATTCTCCAAAGGCACTTCTTCAGAGACTCACCTCCTCCACCGGGGCCCCTCCTCCTACCAGAACATGGAGCTTGATCCAGTGAAGTTAGCACCTGTATGATCCAATTATCTTCCCAAAGTCCCACTTGTGAAAGTGAAGCACAGTTTATATTTCAACTATAACAAGACTCACAGTGGACATCTGTAATTTGAAAACAAATATTTCTGCCTATTAATTCTGACCTGCTCCTTTCTCCTTTTGAGAAATGGTTGCCAAGTATGAGGAAGTTTAGGCTTTTATGAGATAAATTCTCACAATCTGTATTTAGCAGCCAATAATGGAACCACATGCAAATTAAGTATTGTGCAACTCTTAAGTAGATAAACAGTATAAACAATTTGCATTTACCTCCAAAATTCTTCAGTTAGAAATCATTATTGTATATTAAAACATTTAGACAAGAGAATCACTGATTCCATTGACTTTAAAGTCCAAGAAATGTGCCCATTCTCTTTAAAATATATTCTCTTCTGAAAGCCTCTTGTGTAACATCAGGCTTTCATCTGGATATGCTGTCTCTTCTTCCCAAAAACTTCCTTGTGACCATAACAATGCACTTATTTCATTGTATTGTCTGCATAAATACAGGTATTATTATTCTAAGGCATTAGTAGAAACAGCCTAGAAAATTCTTTTCTTCTTTCATTTCTTACTATATCACTAGAGTGCATTCATGCACTCAATATCTCCTCTTCTAAATTTATTTTAAGTACAAATTATATATATACACGGAGCTCTGACGTATGTTAAATAGTGTTTTAATGCTTCATTTCATCCTCATAACGATCCATTCATATAGGTGCTGTTTTGGTTCTCACACTATGATAAAGAAATTAATGCACACAGAGATTAAGTACATTGAGTTCACCAAAGTACTTAACTCCTAAGTAGTAGAGATAGATTTGAATCCAAGAGATCAGTATCAGCATCATTTTCTTAACCACTGTACAGAAGTGCCATGTAAGACATTTGCAACTTTCTCTAGGAAAGGTAGACAAAACAATTCTTTTAATATGACTGGAAGTGTCAGAAAACTACCAAAGCAGTGGAAATTTATGGGTCCATGATCCTAAAGAAAAGGAAATCTTTGAAAGACGAGAACTATATTTGGTACTATATTTTCCCTCCATGCAGTGGGCAATTCCAAAGAAAGAGCTGAGATAATAGAAAACATAGCAGGACTTTGGGTAAGTTGAAGGGGCTGGAGGTGTGAGTATTGGAAGAAGACTTCATTTGCTTTCATCACTATGACAGAATAACTGAAATAATGAGTTTAAAAGAAGAAATACTTAACCCTTAGTGTATGGCTTTAGTGTATGGTTCCTAGAACCTGGCCCTTTGGGGCCTGAGGTGTTATGACATTATGATACAAGCATGTGGTGGAAGAAACCTGTTCACCTCACAGTGGTCAGCAGGGTGGAAAGATTCAAAGTCCCAATATTCCTTTGAAGGCCATGTTCCTAGTAACCTAACTTCTCCTGCCACCTTTTAACAACACTGCAGCCTGGTGACCAAGCCTTTATTAAATGATCTCTTATAAGAAGGACCCATCAGAGAAGAGGGCATTGGTGGGTATCACAGGGTTTCAATAATAGCTCTCAGAGGGCTGTCAGCTAAGTCAGAAAGGAACTGGCAATAGATAGATCTCTACAAATGATGGTGCTTTGCACCTTCGCAATTCCTTTTACATTGAAAGTTAGTTTCTTGATAGCAGCTAGTGCAAATCTTTTAAAGAAACCAATTACAAAATACAGATCCTCAAGTATTTCCATTTTGAAGAATGTGTTTTAATAAAATAACAATGTCTGTTAAATTGTTTTTGTAATTTATTTTATATATTAATTGCAGCAGGTAACAGCAAAATATACAGAATGAAAATGGCTTAAACATTCGGCAGTTTGGTAGCCATCAGCATGTCTGCAAAAATTCACTTGTGTGTACATTAACAAAATAAACTATTATGTAGAAATAAAAATTGTGTCAGTGGACTTTGTTTACGTGTCAAAATGCAATACCTTAAACAAAAATATAGTTACATATATTTAAAAAGTCAAAATAAATGTGCACAATAGTCAAGAATCTCTTCCTTCTTGTTGCTATTTTATAGGCAGTGCTGCTGGTTTTCATTTGCAGTGTAACACTGCTAGCTCTCTTCGAATATCCCCGAGCTAGGGCTATACTTCAAAGCTAACCACTGGGGACATTTTGGTGTTGTATCATTAACTGTGCCTCCAAAATCAGGTGTTCTTTTGAGTGTGCTCAAAATATGTTCTGCCACTCTGCAGAAATCATCTCTGAGAGCTGAAGAATAAATGTTTCAAAGACAGAGAAAAATAGTAAGAGGTGTCTTTCCTAATGCATCACTCAGAAATGTAATCTGCATACCTTGGGAGGAATATGATTTTACTTCTCAAATGTGTCATTTTTTAAAATTAATTAATTTTATTGGTACTGGGGGATTTATATTGGTAAGTTATTGTTATATTAAACATATCAGTTTGGTGTAGTGTTAAGAGTGGATGAGCATATGATATTTTATCAGATCAATAAATTTTAATTTCTCACTTAAACTCTACTTTGAAAAACCAGGGTATTTCTCCTTCTTAGCATGTTGGGCACTGTTAGCAGACTCATCTCCTAGAAAATCATGCATCTCTTTCTTCTCCAAACTAAGTTTGCTCCAGGAAAGAGCAAATACATGTGTAAATACATGTGTAATTATGATGTAAAAATAGAGGTTATTATAAAACACATATCAACCATTGAGCCATAACAGAGAAAGAGAATCTCTGGCAAACATTGTCAAAACTTCTTTCCTGGAAATAGAAGAAGGGCTCAGTGTTCTCCAGGAGTGGTAACTGTAATTTGAAAGTTTCTCCCTCGGTCATTTACCTTGGTAGTCACATCAGAAATGTGTATCAGTGGGCTCTTATTGTGAACACTACACAGAACACATTTCTTAATGAAGGTAGGGATATTGTATAGAAGAAATAGACATAGACTTTTCTAGTCAAGCTTGTGGTTACTTTGACAATACACATTTATTACAAACTTAAGTGACTTTTAGTAAATTTGCTTTGTCAGCTCCATTTGCCAGTAACTATATCCAAAATTATTTCTGAAACACATTTCTAAATCTGTTCATTTTTTAATACTTGAATCCATCTTTGCATCAAACATAATAGCAGCTTCTTTGAGGCATTTGAAATTTAGAGCTAAGATCAAAAACATTATTTTTGATGTGATCCTAGCCATCGGCTGGGTGCTTTCAGTTGATGAGAAGCATTGATGTGTATTTTTCTTCTAAACCTCTTTCAGTGTTTTCTTCCACTGTTTTAGGTCCAGAAGGAATTGCTTTCTACAACATCCTGTGATTAACTTCTTGTTGAAAATCAGTGAGTTGTTTTGAGTTAATATCTTTCTTAGAATATTGTTAAACAAAATAAGTAACCATAAGCAAATATTAAAATTTGAGTTCTTTCTAAATTTTGTCCTAAAACATAAATAGGGAAGACAAGTAGTAATCTTTCTAAATTATTGTAGAAATATCTCACTAAATTACTCAGCATATGTGAACAGACTGCTTTCCAGTGTTTAATATTTAACATATTGTCACTTAACACTCAGACACTAA